CTGGGGAGCCCGTGTTCGATTCCCAGCACTGAAAAACTTTTCAATTAATAATCTGACTTAGCCGCCACCGTTCTTCAGAGAGCACGTAAAACCGTTGCAGCTGGCTACTTAAGTAATTGTTAAGTCATTTTAGGAATGCTTGCGTGACCTGAAAACCCTATCACTAGACATTAGCCAGAAGGTTCAATCAACATTGACTGTTCAATGGAACGTGATTGACTAAAAAGGCTAATAAACAATGCCATTAAGACATTGATCATCAAGTAAAAATATAAAGCAGGTGATCTCCTGATCTAGCTTATACCGATGATTCCAACGACCTTACAATTTAATTTTAAACGTATACAATTTCCCATGCGTTTTTTGCAATGACAATAAACAAATCGCAAGGCCAACCATCGAAATTTTGCGGAATTAACTTACAGTCTCTATTATAGTTTATTCGTCTTCCGGGTTTGGACCGTGTCATTTGTGAGTGACCCAAAAGTGGGTTCATCTCGACGTTTCGCTACAATTGTATGTAGCTTCTTCAGGAGAACAAAAAGAAAAAAGAAAGAAAGAAGAAAACAAAGAACAGGAAGATGGGTAGTTAGCAACGGTAACTCAGTTACTCAACGCAACCAGAGGCGAATACTAACTACCAAGATGGGCATTTGGTCACAGTAACTCAACTACTCAACGCAGCCAGAGGTGAAAACCAAATGCCAGGACAGGGATTCACGTCCAACAGCTCAGAACACTAACGCGTCGAGAGGCGGGGAGTGAATCCGACGATTACTCTGCTACCGCTCTATTTATAGTCGCGGTGCCTGTCGTGTCGGGACGTATCGGCACACTTCGTGGCGCGAACGTCAAGAAGCGCGCGCTGGCCAATCATGTGGCTGCATCGTAGTGGCGGGACCGGACGGCGGTTCTAGACTGGGATTCCAGATGGGAGACAAGTAGTATCCTTCCTCTCGATTGATATTATGGGGATTTTTTCGGATCTCTAGAGATTCGCGGATTTTCCTGGAATAAAAGAAGGGGCTTTTAGAAATAATATGGGTTTTTTTCGAACAATATGGAATGACCGGTTTCTTGGCAGTGTTCTGCAACTGCAGAATGGGAGAAAAGACCTGATCGAATGCATCTTTGATGCTCTTGAATCCGAGTTTTGACGGAACGACCAGTTTCGCCAATATACACATGTCCACATGAACAAGGAATAGAATAGACACCACAGGAAGATAGGGGCGGTAATGGGTCCTTAGGAGAGGGTAGATATTGTGAGATTCTCTTGGGTGGTCGAAAAGTAGTCCTGATACCTTCTTTGCGAAGAATTTTGCCAATCCTATCAGTGACATTTCGAATATACGGAAGAAAAGCCACAGGAGTATTACCCGAAGATTCTGAATTTGTCGTCCTAGGGTGTAAAGGGGGATGTAGATGTCGGTGTGTAATATTTTGAATTGTGGACTTGGAGTAACCGTTGGCGACAAGTGTTTTTTGCAGATGGCCAAGTTCTTCTCTAAGGTTGTCGGGTTCAGAAATCGAAATGGCCCGATGGATGAGAGAGTTGATCACAGAATTCTTTTGGGCAGGATGGTGGTGTGATGAAGCATGTAGGTAACGATTCGTGTGAGTCTTTTTTCTAACTCTGGCCGTGGAAGCCTACGATTTCATTTGACCAACCTCTACGGGGAGGTTATATTCCGCAAAACCTCAGAGTTCTCCAATCTTCGCTCTAAAGTTTCATCTCTACTTTCTTCGCTCACCTTCCTCTCTAGATGTCGTGATAACAACTTGGTTCCCAATTTTCTTGTTCTAAAACATCACATTTCCTCTTCATCTTCTTCCCGAATTCTACATCGAGCCAGCCTATCTCTACTTCGTGAACGGATTCAACATATTCGAAAAACCCTTAATTTTCAATCCCAAAAACTTTTTAAGCTGCATCTTGAACTCTCCAGTATTCTTAGTGTCGATGATTGGTCACTTTTAGACCGCATTTCCTATCATCAAGCCGATAAAATCCTTCTTCTAAGCAACGAAACTCACAAAAAGAAATTCCAATCCCTTGTATCTAAGAAGAAAAAATCACATTCCACCACTTCTACTTCTCATTCACCTCTCACTAACACCGTCGTTAATCTTTCTTCTCACCAATTAACAAGTGCAGAAAGCAGTCTTCTATCTAAAGGTCTTAATTTTGCTATCACTCCTTCCAGAATTCCTACCGAAGAAATAGTTTCAAATGTGGAAGCGGCACTCCGCACAATTCCCAAAATTCCAGCCGACCGTATCCGCTTTGACGTCGCTAAATGTCTTGATACAGCCAAAATCCCTACTTCCAATATATCTCGTGAGGAATTCATAGCTCTCAAAAATCTCCGTTCTCTTTCTGAGATAATAATCCTTCCTGCAGACAAAGGTAATGCCACAGTCATCCTGGATACTCCTTCCTACATAGAGAAAGTAAACGACTTACTTAGGGATACATCCTGTTATAATACAATTTCTCGAGACCCCACTCCTAGAGTCGAACGCGAAATTGCCCATGTCATCAAACAATCCGATCTTTCCGATGATATTAAGAAGTCCATAGTTCCGAAAAACTCCATCTGCCCCAGAATTTATGGTCTTCCCAAAATCCATAAAGATAACGTACCTCTTCGTCCCATTGTGACTACGATTAACTCTCCTACCTACAAACTCGCAAAGTACTTGTCGAATCAGTTTAAGACCTATACTGGTCGCACCTCTTCTTATGTCCGAAATTCCACACATTTCATCACCTTAATCTCCTCTCTCACAGTCGATCCCCAAGACATTCTCGTCAGTTTCGATGTATCATCCCTATTTACCAATATCCCCATACATGACTCTCTAGTCGTTCTGCGAGATCACTTGACCAATGATAACAAGTCTTTGGTTTTGGCAGATCTTGCGGAAAAATGCCTCCTTTCAACATATTTTTCTTTTAGAGGCAATTTCTACAAACAAATATCTGGAACACCAATGGGTTCTCCCCTTTCCCCTGTCATTGCTGACATTTTCATGGAAGCCTTTGAGTCTTTAGCCCTAGAATCTTACCCCTTAAAACCAAAAGTCTGGTTCCGCTACGTTGATGATACATTTATCATCTGGCCCCATGGTCAACATACCCTTTCTCCCTTCCTAGATCATCTTAACTCACAACATCCGAGTATAAAATTCACAATGGAAGTAGAAAATAATCGGTCCCTTCCCTTTCTCGATGTGTTAGTCACCTCCAAGCCCAATGGCCGATTGGGTCACTCTGTTTATAGAAAAAAGACTCACACGAATCGTTACCTACATGCTTCATCACACCACCATCCTGCCCAAAAGAATTCTGTGATCAACTCTCTCATCCATCGGGCCATTTCGATTTCTGAACCCGACAACCTTAGAGAAGAACTTGGCCATCTGCAAAAAACCCTTGTCGCCAACGGTTACTCCAAGTCCACAATTCAAAATATTACACACCGACATCTACATCCCCCTTTACACCCTAGGACGACAAATTCAGAATCTTCGGGTAATACTCCTGTGGCTTTTCTTCCGTATATTCGAAATGTCACTGATAGGATTGGCAAAATTCTTCGCAAAGAAGGTATCAGGACTACTTTTCGACCACCCAAGAGAATCTCACAATATCTACCCTCTCCTAAGGACCCATTACCGCCCCTATCTTCCTGTGGTGTCTATTCTATTCCTTGTTCATGTGGACATGTGTATATTGGCGAAACTGGTCGTTCCGTCAAAACTCGGATTCAAGAGCATCAAAGATGCATTCGATCAGGTCTTTTCTCCCATTCTGCAGTTGCAGAACACTGCCAAGAAACCGGTCATTCCATATTGTTCGAAAAAAACCCATATTATTTCTAAAAGCCCCTTCTTTTATTCCAGGAAAATCCGCGAATCTCTAGAGATCCGAAAAAATCCCCATAATATCAATCGAGAGGAAGGATACTACTTGTCTCCCATCTGGAATCTCAGTCTAGAACCGCCGTCCGGTCCCGCCACTACGATGCAGCCACATGATTGGCCAGCGCGCGCTTCTTGACGTTCGCGCCACGAAGTGTGCCGATACGTCCCGACACGACAGGCACCGCGACTATAAATAGAGCGGTAGCGGAGTAATCGTCGGATTCACTCCCCGCCTCTCGACGCGTTAGTGTTCTGAGCTGTTGGACGTGAATCCCTGTCCTGGCATTTGGTTTTCACCTCTGGCTGCGTTGAGTAGTTGAGTTACTGTGACCAAATGCCCATCTTGGTAGTTAGTATTCGCCTCTGGTTGCGTTGAGTAACTGAGTTACCGTTGCTAACTACCCATCTTCCTGTTCTTTGTTTTCTTCTTTCTTTCTTTTTTCTTTTTTGTTCTCCTGAAGAAGCTACATACAATTGTAGCGAAACGTCGAGATGAACCCACTTTTGGGTCACTCACAAATGACACGGTCCAAACCCGGAAGACGAATAAACTATAATTCTGACTCTGGCCGTGGAAGCCTACGATTTCATTTTACAGTCTCTATGTTCCGCGCATGGACAATTATTCGCGAGTCGGAAAACCGTCATCGTTGTATATTTAATCACCGAAAAAAAAATATATGTTATAACTAAACTATAATTAGTTCTATGATTTTTGTATATAGACATTTTTCATAGTTTATTATTTTTGAGAGACACTTTTCCATATTCGTTTAGGTGCTCACTGTATATTAATAAAGATAATAGTATGTGCAACACTATTAGGATTATTGTGAAAACTGTGTTTTACTAAGAAAGTCTATTAAAAATATTTGAATTTATTTGAATGGCATATGTATCTAAAAATATATACCTAGACATATTTGTTAATTATTATGTACAGCACTGTATAAAAAATAGTTTCTTAAACGATAAAAATACTTTATAATCCAATTATCTCCTACAATTGTTTGATATGTTAAATAAAATATATGGGATAGTTTCACTAATAAAATTTCCCTTTTTTTTAGATTCTTCTTAAAACATTCTTTCCTGGAGCAAGCGTTCGATATGCTTATTGAACAAGGATTTAAGCTGTCAGGAAGTTGTGGCTCTGGTACCGCTGGAGGTGCTTCCGACCTCAAGCCAGGAGTCGACGCAGAAGAAAATCGCTGGAACCACTACAATGAATTCGTTTTCGTTCGAGATTAGTGTATTTAGGTTTAAAATGGCGTGTAGGAAAGTTCATCGAAAAATATTTCGCCAAAAATAATAGAGTTGTTCCAAATGTAGATCAAACAATATTAAAATACGCTTTTACCTAATATAACTTAGTTTAGAATGTATTATGTTTCTCTAATGTTCCTGAATTAAACATTTTATAAACTGTATCTTCTTTTCGTTATGGTCTAAGTAGTTTATTTAAATAGTTCCAAAATAATATATATAGTTTACAAGTGTATTGCAAATGTGCATGTTTTTGATCTATTTATATTTTAAATATTAATCACAAACACTACTATTAGGTATAAGTAGTAACAATCCATAATGCTAATTTATTGGCATATCAATTATAACAATATAACTACAAGCACTCAAGTTTAATGTTTAAAATTATTTTTAATTTATTAATTAGTTTAATAGATAAAGGTATAATTGGTGCCTTGGGGAGGAATTTCACCGTTTTCCAACCGAAGATTTATGCGGTGCTTTAATGTGAAAAGTGAAATAATGAGGGAGCACAAAAGAGCAGATTCATATTGTTAGACAGCCAAGCGGCACTGAAGCACTGGCATGTCAGGAAGTGACGTCCAGACTGATGTGGGACAGCATCAAAAAATCAGTTTAACTTGCTAAAAGAGGATCAAACGCATCAAACAGACCAGCTTTGTCCCTGGGAGCACCAAAGACTGCAGTACGAAGAGTTGTAAAGACTGGATTTGAGAAAGTCATTCCGTTAAGAATCTCAAAATAAACACATGGAACAATCGCTATTGATGGATCATGTACACATAGAACAATATCAGTAATATTGACCGGTCATACTCGAGTATATAAGATATTTCCTTAATAAAATAATCATCTGCAATTGAGACCTGAAATGCTGCGATAAGGTACCAGAAACTGCAAAATCATGGCCTTTAATGCACTTTGAAAAAGGGAGTATGCCAAGGATGAGTTTTAGCTTCCATATTTTTTTTTAGTATCTTTTCAGAGTTTATAATGCGCAGAGTCTTGGATGATTGGGACAGAAGAGTAAACCTACTCTAGAAGATATTACTAACTTATTAAAAAACTCAATGTAGAAGTTACTAAATTTGGACCCAAATTTCACTAAAACAAAACTAAAATCATGGTTATTGATCGCCAACAACAGTTTCCAGAAATCCTTACTATTGCGAAATGGAGCTATTCTTCTCTATGATATATCTTGGAGCTCTAATTAACAACATAGGCAGTTGTGAACTCCAAATTCGGGGTCTGGCATGATCGTGACGTTACTATGATAAACAAAAAGTGGCTCGTTTTAATTCTGATCTTCTCCATATTTTACTATGCATACGAGACATGGACAGTCAAAGAATCTAAAAGACGTTTTTATTTAAATTGTAACGTAATTTTAAAGTTCTTTAGTCATATCGATGGAAGTGATCACAGAATGGAGCGATTGTTGGTCCAAGGAAGGCCTTCAGAGTCAACGCCAACGCGGCAGATCTCCACAGCGATGGGCAGACATGAAAAAGCTTGTCAACAAGCAGTATACTGACACAAGACATGTAACAAATGACCGCGACCAATGGAAAAGTATCATTGATCAGACTCTCCAAGACGAAGCTTAATGATGAACCACACATCTGCTATTGGCAGATATTGGCTATGATGATGACAACCCTGCTTAACTCATGAGTTACAAAGCTGAATCTAGAAAGGAATAGTGATAGTAGCATAATATCTAATTAAATAAATTAAAAATATGGGGCAAGGTAATTTACTTATATTTACGGAAATAGACAACTTATGGAATTTACCTAAAAATAACAAAAGACAAAAGGTATTATGCAATGTACTATAAAATCTAATATATACTCTGTAAGTATAAAAAAGGTTGGAAAAACTAGTCTAGAAACGGATATACTACACTAAAGTTGTCTACAAATGAATAACGTTCTTAATGTGTAACATTAAATATTGGACAGCTCATCTAGAACATCTATATTGGGTATCTTTAAGTGTGTACAGACATACGGACCTTCAGTTAAACTCTAACGACTAAACGAAAAAGAGTTATACCAGATAGATTAAAATGTCGATATTTATTAGGGCCTTATAAGTGGATGAATGATGGTTGGTGCCATCAAAAGATTCTTTGACCGAACTATGATAGTGGAAATATATGATTCATATAAATATTTTTGTGCCGCAGTTTATATCACCTGCACCGGTTTAACTATTACCCTTCAATTTAAATTTAGCAGTTGTGTAATCGGTACGTAAATTTACTTCTAGCCTTTTTGGATACAGAGAGATACAATGATTTTAAGTAACCTAGGATAATAGAAAAATGTATACCTGCAAAAGCTATATAACGTGATATATAAGTAAAGTGCAAGTGTAGTTAACTTTCAATTACTTTCTATTAAATTACTGCTTAATTGTATGCTTTAACACCATAGATCAGCTCGTTATAGTAAATATTATTAAAATCTCTATTAAGATATAGAGAATAAAATAAAATATGTTAGCACTAGAAAAAAAAATTAATATTTCTTCTTGTCAAGACTATTGACGATGACCGAGTCTTTTCTCCATAATTTGGATTACTGGATTTTGCATTCTTCTTTAAGTAAGTTATTGCTTTGTCTCCTGCCTCTACAGGTAATAAAAAGTTTTTTTGGTTTAGACTGTCATGGACAAGTACCTAGAGGTCTTCGTTAGGATTGATTTGAGGAGGAGTTGCGTACAGGAGTAGACGATACTGGTGTATCGTTTAGGAACTGTAGATGTTAAGTTGGTATTTAGTAACGACATTTTTAAATTGTTGGGTACATATTAGTGCAGCAAGCATTAGGACGCTTACTACACTAATATGTGTATAAACGTGTATCATTATGCAATAAAATTGGAAACCACAGAAAACCAATTTACCCCTATGTTATTGCCTTATTAAGTACTTATTAGGGGTATTTTCGGGAACGTCAAAGTATTTGTCAAAAACTTCCTTATTGGCAGTAGGTATATAGTAAAATTGGAAGAAAGAATAGAACTTTGAGTTTAGGAAAACTGACGGGAATCTGTCCTTTAATATAACAAGGCATTTTGACCTTCTGTTTTAGCCCTATTGTTATTACTTCAAAGAGATTTAATCCGATTACGAAATGGGATCAATACCAGCCAAAACATGTAACGAAGTATGTGTGTCCGAGACCATGTTTCTTTTTAGTTTACAGGTAGTGTGTTTGGGATTTCAGTCCTTATGATGAATAGCTTATGAACTGAAGGGGTTCTTGCTCTCGTCTGATCTTGAAGTCCTAAATTTTGAAGTGGTTGGAGATTGTAGGCAGGCAGGAAGATAAAGTGATTCATAGATAAGATAAAATCCTGTTTGTTGAATACTTTTCGGTTGACTGTCTTGATGGAGACAAAGGAGACGTTAGGTTGTGAAAAAGCAAGTAAGTTTCTAGGTGTAATTGACAAAATGCCATTATCCATCCCGGCAGAATGAAACATTCTTCTGAGCCGAGTAAACCTTGTGGTGATTGGCATGGTTATATCAGAGACAGAAAATAGCTCTGCGATTAGGGCTTTTTTTGTTTGTTTGTTTGTAAAGATAAACAAAGTCAAAACATTAATAATAAATTAAATAACAAACGCAACTCAAATAGAAATATAATGGAATTGCTACACGTGAAGCAGCTTTCTTCTTGAATATTCTTGTACAAAACTGCATAGATCAACGACAACTATATTCATCACATTCCTAGAATACAGAAAAGCTTTTGACACCGTAAAATACGATGCAATGTTAAAAATATTAAACAACGCTAATATTGACGAGAAAAACATAAGAGTAATCCAGACTGTATATTGGAATCAAAAAGCATGAAAGCGGCTTAACAGATCAATGAACACAGGGTAATTTTAAATTTTAAGAGGGGTGCACCATATTTTGTATCTTGTGCTGTTTAACCTATATGTTGAGAATATACGCCAAGGATACCGCGATAATTACAGGCAACGATCATGATATATGCACTTGATGCTAAGTAAAATAAATACCTTAGAAAAAAATATGGCTTGAATATAAATAGTGCCAAAACTAAATGGATGACAATAAGAAAAAATGCGCTTTTAGGGGTACAGTTGCAAGTAGATAATGCTTCAATTGAGCAAGTGAAAACATTCAAATACTTGCGAATGACAGTTAATGGCTAATGGCCAATCCTCAACAAGCACTAAGATGTAGTATCGAACAAGCAAGACAAGCTTTTATCATATTTAAACCGCTACTACGTAATCGCAATCTTTCCTTTAAGATCCGTTACAGGATTGTTAAACGTTGTGTGTCGTCTATAGTGTTTTACAGCATGGAGACATGGACGGTAAAAATATCTTCCATGAACAAGTTGGAGGTTCGATAACGTTGACCGATAGGGTGAGAAACGAGAAAGTTTTAAGGAGGGCAACTACTGAAAGAGAATTACTCAAATTGAACAAAGTACAAAAAATTGGATATCTAGCCCATATCCTGAATGGAAAAAAAACGTAATCCCTCAACTAATTATCCAAGAAAATATTGAAGGCAAGAGAAGAGTAGGTCGCACTCAAATGTCGTAGCTACGGAATACAAAGAATACAAAGATAATTCTTCAACACACTATAGGTGCACAGAACTATAAGAAGAAGTAGAAATATTATTACTTAATATTGCAAAATAGAAACACATAAAGCCGATAGCGAGAACAAAGCAGGAAGATTATATTATACTTTAAGTAATACAATTTTAGAACACAAACATATAGATATGGATGTCAAAAGAATAATACATCCCATACCAGTTATTATGTAGGTACGTTTGCAGGGATTGAATAATACATATACAGAATAAACAAAATTTAATGCAACAGATGAAACATTTAGGAATTATGGTAAGGAAAACACATTGGAATCACATAAACGAATGTAATAGCAAAATAACAAACTAAAGGTCGATT